TGTTGCAATATGACGATGGTCATATTATGGCCCGGCAAGCTTACGACTCAAGCCTCAACTTCGGATGGATGTGAGCCAGGAGAAAAGGGTTGGGCTGCTTGGGCAGGGAAAGGATGTTTGTTGGGCGCTGGAATTGATCTCAGTGCAAAAATCAAGTTGCACACTATGACGATTGTATCTCTTGGCTCGCAAGTGTTTAGTCCTCCAATGCTTATGCAAATACAGAAGCCACATGAGGTTCGTTTCAAAAAACAGTGAACACTTGGAGCAGTTACTCGAATCAGCCGCAACTCAACATGTCATCCGTAAGACTCATTTTTTCGTTTCAGTGGCTCCATGACTAAGAGGCTCTTGCTGGCTAGTGACTGCGCTGGACTGGAGCCGCTGTCGGCCTGTTGCGAGTGTCTTGGCTGAAATATGTACTGGTTGAGTGTCTTGCTAGATGAGCTGCCAAGGAAAGCAGGAATACCGCACAAGCTGGTCTATGCGTCTGAGACAGACAAAAAACTTCGTGCTCGCATAGAAGAACTGCATGGGCCAGAAACAATGTCTGAAGATGCCTGCCACCCGATGCGCCCCTTTGACGCAGGCAAGTAGCAGTCTTGAACTTGCACAGGTTGGCAATGCAAACCATGGCCACCGGCGCAGCTAAGGCTGGAATGCACAGATAAACCTCTATGGAATTGGGGCGCCGTGCCAACCTTACTCTGCCATCGGCCGCCGAGGAGGGGCTTCTGATGCAAGATCTGCGCCACTTAGTAAGGCAGGGTTTCCTCACGAAGTCAAACTTGCTGATTGCGATCAGTTGCCACTGACAGGCTGCGTCTCGCATATCAGCTATGAAACCGGACGCTTTCATGTTCGAAAATGTGCCTGGCCTTTGCAACGCCAAGAACCAAGCTTTCTTCAAGGGCCTGTTGAAGAAGCGCCTTGCAAATGAGCTGAGTCTAATGCTGTGTGTCTGATGGATCACTTAAGATGCTCTTGACAAGTCTGACTTCTTGCTTCTAGGATGAACTGCACTGGTCGGTACAAGGTAAAGTGGAAGGTCTGGGCCCAAGTCCTGGAATCCAGTGTCTTGCTGTTTGGTTTTGTTAGTGATGATGTGCCGTGGTTGAGTGCAGGTTCTTGATGCAAAGATGTTTGGCCTTCCTCAACGCCGTCGACGGCTGTGGATCATTGGCTACAAGCACAAACTGGCGCAGGGGCGTGGCTTGAGCAGACTGAGCGTTTGAGCGTTCTGGTCCAACAAACAGCAAACTTCTTATCAACCCGAGGCACCTTTCGGTTTCCCGTGGGCAGCAAGAAGAAGGCTTCCCTCAAGTCAGTGCTGGCCAAGACCCTCCGCAAGAAAGCATAATTTGTCCACTTGAAATGTGTTGTTTTGCAGTAGCTTCAGTTAAGGAAAAACTTCATCAAGAACCCGCGCCTGCCGACCTCCTACACTGGCAAGCGAAACCTTCATAAGGGCCTCACTGACATTCTTGCACGGGGTGGTGATCCAGATCGCGAAACTTGGAACCCTGGCTGTCACCATAATTTAATCAAGTATCAATATTTTCCCTGGGTTGGTGCATCACCCAACTGAGGATCATTGACACTGGAAGCTCCAAGAGTTTTGCCTTGAAGCCGGTTTGCAATATGTGCCTTGGACATGTTTCATGCCTGCCTCACACGAGTTTGTGAATCTTGAGGATGCCTTGCATTACAGCCTCCAGAGCCGCACAGAGGGGCTTCTACATCACCAGCAAAGGCCGCCGCATTCTGGTCAAGGCAGGGTTGACCACTTCCATAGCCTGCCCACCCTCGTCGTTGCAGGAGCTGGCAGCATGCATGGGCTGGGCTGGCATCAACTGGGGCGCCGCAGCGCGGCTGACTGTCAGTCAGAGAGCCCGCGCTCTGGGGAACGCGTGGCCACTGCCGGTGGCTATGCGGATCATCGAGGTTACTTGGACAAAGTACCACACGATTGGTGAAATCAGCTGACAACCACTTAACTGGTTAAGGAGCTGGGGAGAGTTCTTCGATGGGAACTGAGCTGATGCTGAATGGACAGCCGCGGCGGGAGGTGGTTGAAAAGATGCGTCTTTGATTGGTCCTGCGTGCCTGCCCAAGATATTATCGTTTGTTTTGATCTTGACTTTCACTCTGAGTCTGAGGTTTGCCCCATCACAGCAGCCAGGCTGGCGGACGAAACGTTCCGACTTAACAATTTCTTTGTGAACACAAGGTAGAATAAAATATAAGTAGAAAAATAAGTTGGCACAACGCCGACTTTTGTGTGTATCATGACCCAGTTACTTACTTACTTGGCCTAACAGCGGCCCAGATACAGCATGTGGCAGCGTATTGCTGCTGCGATGCTGTGAACAGGATGACAAATCTTGAGATTAGTCTTTCGCACTGATGTGCTGTCAGCGCAGTGTGGATTTCCAGGAACGAAGCTCTGACACAGCCTGCCAGTCAGCAAGGGCGTCATGGTGTCTGATTGTGACTGGCTAGGTCGGAATGAGTCTGGTGTAGTGAAGCTTGCAGGGATGTTTTTTGCTTGTGGATAAGAATGAGCGCAAGGCCAGAAAGTTTGTGCTGCGGACTCTGAATCTTGGGCAGCAAGCTGTGGCACTGCGCAGGTTTTTTGAGCCTTTGCTGCGTGTTTGTGTGTGTGTGTGGGCGATTGATTGTGCAGGCAGCCGTCTCATGATGCAAGTTCAGATTTCGATTAGTCTTCTTGACGGCTGCTTGCGAGCAGCATGATGTGATTGCTTCGGCTGATGTGACGCGGTCAGTGGCTTGCTTGCGGCTTAAGACTCGTGCTTGCAATGCTTCCAGATCAATGCAATACAACATGTGGCAGCGTATTGCTGCTGCGATGCTGTGAACAGGATGACAAGTCTTGAGATTAGTCTTTCGCACTGATGCGCTGTCAGCGCAGTGTGGATTTCCAGGAACGAAGCTCTGACACAGCTTGCCAGTCGGCAAGTGCGTCATGGTGTCTGATTGTGACTGGCTAGGTCAGAATGAGTCTGGTGTAGTGAAGCTTGCAGGGATGTTTTTTGCTTGTGGATGAGAATGAGCGCAAGGCCAGAAAGTTTGTGCTGCGGACTCTGAATCTTGGGCAGCAAGCTGTGGCACTGCGCAGGTTTTTTGAGCCTTTGCTGCGTGTGTGTGTGTGTGTGGGCGATTGATTGTGCAGGCAGCCGTCTCATGATGCAAGTTCAGATTTCGATTAGTCTTCTTGACGGCTGCTTGCGAGCAGCATGATGTGATTGCTTCGGCTGATGTGACGCGGTGTTTGGCTTGCTTGCGGCTTAAGACTCGTGCTTGTGGTGCTTCTGGATCAATGCAATACAACATGTGGCAGCGTATTGCTGCTGCGATGCTGTGAACAGGATGACAAATCTTGAGATTAGTCTTTCGCACTGATGTGCTGTCAGCGCAGTGTGGATTTCCAGGAACGAAGCTCTGACACAGCCTGCCAGTCAGTAACGGCGTCAGGGTGTCTGATTGGGACTGGCTAGGTCGGAATGAGTCTGGTGTAGTGAAGCTTGCAGGGATGTTGTTTGCTTGTGGATAAGAATGAGCGCAAGGCCAGAAAGTTTGTGCTGCGGACTCTGAATCTTGGGCAGCAAGCTGTGGCACTGCGCAGGTTTTTTGAGCCTTTGCTGCGTGTTTGTGTGTGTGTGTGGGCGATTGATTGTGCAGGCAGCCGTCTCATGATGCAAGTTCAGATTTCGATTAGTCTTCTTGACGGCTGCTTGCGAGCAGCATGATGTGATTGCTTCGGCTGATGTGACGCGGTGTTTGGCTTGCTTGCGGCTTAAGACTCGTGCTTGTGGTGCTTCTGGATCAATGCAATACAGCATGTGGCAGCGTATTGCTGCTGCGATGCTGTGAACAGGATGACAAATCTTGAGATTAGTCTTTCGCACTGATGTGCTGTCTGCGCAGTGTGGATTTCCAGGAACGAAGCTCTGACACAGCCTGCTAGCCAGTGAGGGCGTCATGGTGTCTGATCGGGACAAACTTGGGCGTAATGGGTCTGGTCTAACAACATGACATCATGAAGGTATGATGTTGCTTGTATGAGATGTTACTCAGCAAGTGTCTTGTGAAGGCAGGGCTGTGGTTAGCATGTGAATGTTCTTTATGCGTTTGTGTGTTTGTGTGGTACGTGCTTGCGCAAGCAGCCGCCTCAGGATGCAAGTTCAGATTTCGATTAGTCTTCTTGACGGCTGCTTGCGAGCAGCATGATGTGATTGCTTTGGCTGATGTGATCGCGGTGTTTGGCTTGCTTGCGGCTTAAGACTCGTGCTTGTGGTGCTTCCAGATCAATGCAATACAGCATGTGGCAGCGTATTGCTGCTGCGATGCTGTGAACAGGATGACAAATCTTGAGATTAGTCTTTCGCACTGATGTGCTGTCTGCGCAGTGTGGATTTCCAGGAACGAAGCTCTGACACAGCCTGCTAGCCAGTGAGGGCGTCATGGTGTCTGATCGGGACAAACTTGGGCGTAATGGGTCTGGTCTAACAACATGACATCATGAAGGTATGATGTTGCTTGTATGAGATGTTACTCAGCAAGTGTCTTGTGAAGGCAGGGCTGTGGTTAGCATGTGAATGTTCTTTATGCGTTTGTGTGTTTGTGTGGTACGTGCTTGCGCAAGCAGCCGCCTCAGGATGCAAGTTCAGATTTCGATTAGTCTTCTTGACGGCTGCTTGCGAGCAGCATGATGTGATTGCTTTGGCTGATGTGATCGCGGTGTTTGGCTTGCTTACGGCTTAGGATTTGTGCTGGTGCTTCTGGATCAGTGTGGGACATCGTGTGGCTGTGATGCTGTGAGTATGATGACACATGGGTGTGGCTCAAAATTAAACCGGAGGGGCAAACCGCAGGTTTTGGTCCATGTTTCCACTTACCAGGGCACCCCATTTTGGAATTCCGGTTTTCTGCGCCACAGCCACATCTTGAGATTCGTTCATTTGGTGCCGTCCCGTGAGGTTCGGCTGGCGCCCTCCAACGGAGATCTGCTGGTGGGCCACACCACCTGGCGCCTTGGGATCGATTTGGGGTGCACTGCCTGGGTGGTTTGGAGTGGGGGGTTGCTTTTTTCTGGGTTTTGGGGGTATTCTGGGGGAAAAAGAGATACTTCTGCGAGGGTATCTCCGTTTTTTTTGGGGGGGGTCAAACCATATGGAGGAAAATGGTTGGAGATATGGAGAAGCAAGTGATGCAGTTTGAGCGACGAAGAAGACTTCATCAAAAGGACCTTTCATCTTATGTTCGGTCTTTGATTTGTGATAATTCACCCCGGAAAGTATGTAGGACATGTGGAGGGACGCATTGGACAAATGGTGAAGACTGGAAAGTATGGGGAAGTATGGGGAAGGTCTGGGGATATATGGGCGGACAGAAGAGGAAGCATAATATGGGACCTGTGGTGAGCAGGTATCCTGGTTCAGGGGGGGGGCTCTTTTTGGCTTATCCACTTGTTTGGATACAGGTAGGACAGGATAGGAAAAGGGGTGCCACACAAAATAACTAGGTCCACTGCTGACCCTACCACACATTCAGCTTACAACTCGCCGCGCCAATATCAAGAAGCGCGCAACCCTGCCACCTTGCCATGCATGAATTGATGAACTTAAGGAATGGAATGGATGGAATGGACGGGATGGATGGGATGGATGGGATGGACGGGGTGGACGGACGGGATGGACAGGATGATGGATGGGATGGACAGGATGATGGATGGGATGGACGGGGTGGACGGGGTGGACGGGATGGACGGGATGGACGGGATGGACGGGGTGGATGGGATGGACGGGATGGATTGGATGGACGGGATGGACGGGGTGGACGGGATGGACGAAATACGGGAAGAATGGGATGGACGTGATGGACGGGACGCACGGGATGCATGGGATGGACGGGATGGACGGATGGACGGGATGGACGAGATGGACGGGATGGACGGGATGGATGGGATGGATGGGATGGACGGGATGGACAGGATGGATGGGATGGACGGGATGAAGGGGAAGGCCGGGATGGGGATGGATGGGATGGACGGGATGGAAGGAATGGACGGGATAGACGAGATGGACGGGATGGATGGGATGGACGGGATGGACGGGATGGATGGGATGAACGGGATGGACCAGAAGGATATGGGATGGACGGGGTGGACGGGATGGACGGGATGGACGAGATGCACGGGATGGACGGGATGGACGGGGTGGACGGGATGGACGGGATGGATGGGATGGACGGGATGGACAGGATGGACGAGATGGACGGGAAGGATGGGATGGACAGAATGGAAGGGATGGAGGGGATGGACGGGATAGATAGGATGGACGAGATGGACGGGATGGAAGGAATGGACGGGATGGATAGGATGGACGGGATGGATGGGATGGAGAAGGGATGGGATGGAGGAGGGATGGGATGGACAGGATGGAAGGGATGGAGGGGATGGACGGGATGGATAGGATGGACGAGATGGACGGGATGGACGGGATGGATGGGATGGACGGGGTGGACGGGATGGACGGGATGGACAGGATGGACGGGGTGGACGGGGTGGACGGGATGGACGGGATGGACGGGATGGACGGGGTGGATGGGATGGACGGGATGGACGGGATGGGATGGACGGGGTGGACGGGATGGACGGGATGGACGGGATGGATGGGCTCGACGGGATGGATGGGATGGACTGGGTGGACGGGATGGACGGGATGGACGGGATGGACGGGGTGGACGGGGTGGACGGGATGGACGGGATGGACGGGATGGACGGGATGGACGGGATGGACGGGATGGATGGGATGGACGGGATGGACGGGATGGATGGGATGGACGGGATGGACGGGGTGGACGGGATGGACGGGGTGGACGGGATGGACGGGATGGACGGGGTGGAGATGGACGGAATGAATGGGATGGACGGGGTGGACGGGGTGGACGGGATGGACGGGGTGGACGGGATGGATGGGATGGACGGGATGGAAGGGATGGATGGGATGGATGGGATGGACGGGATGGACGGGATGGACGGGATGGATAGGATGGACGAGATGGACGGGATGGACGGGGTGGACGGGATGGATGGGATGAACGGGATGGAGGGCATGGACGGGATGGACGGGGTGGATGGGATGGACGGGATGGACGGGATGGACGGGATGGATGGGATGGACGGGATGGACGGGATGGACGGGGTGGGCGGGATGGACGGGATGGACGGGATGGACGGGATGAACGGGATGGACGGGATGGACGGGATGGAAGTGCGAAAGCTTTGTGTTGAAGTTGTGTCCAAAGACTACTTGACGTACTACAAATGAGCCACTTCGGTGTTTTCTTGGGAGCCGAGGCCTGTATGCTTTGGGCAATGCATCACTAGCTTGGCCTCAGATGGCTGACCCAGATTGCTGCGATGCCTTTCTTCTTTCAACGTGTCAACAGCCGTACACGGCCTTCCCAGGCCCGCAAAAGGAGCACCCATTTCGCATCCGTTCTAGCAGGCAATGTCATAGTGAGCCCCTAATAAGCATAGGATAACACCTTGGTCAAGCGCTTAATAAGGCAATCAGAAGCCCTAGTAGCTAAGCTCTTAAGGACAAGCTCAGGATAAGCCAGGAAAAGGCCAAGACAAGCCAGGAATATGGTCAGGATAAGCCAACGATAAGGCAGGACAAGCCAAGGACAAGCCAGGGATAACCCATGATAAGCCAGGATAAGCCCAGGATAAGCCCAGGATAAGCCCAGGAGAAGCCCAGGAGAAGTCCAAAGTGAACTGGAAACCATGACCATGCAGCATGCAGGTTTAGGGGTGAACCAAGCGGTGGAATGAAGCTGTTTCCTTCAAGCAAACGAAGCCACAGCCTCCTGCCTGCTTCGATGCGAGGTTTGCTTTGACAACTTGCATATTCAGAGGAATGGCATGCAAGTTCTCAGGCCCAAGTTGCAAGGACAAGGCTTAGGACAAGTTCTTATTCAGGCATCTAATTTGCAATTCTTCTTTATTAAGGGCTTAACAGCTGAATATGCCCTTATTAAGACTGTATCCTGAAGACTGGCCAAGGCTTATCCGGCGCTTATGAAGCCCATTGGTTCCCCTTAGACATGAATGTGGCGAGGACATCTTTGGACATACATGGAGAAATATGGGCATGCAATTATGTGGGGATGCTTTATTCAATGGTATCTGCAGATAAGGATTCTCCGTTTCGGTGCGAATCAAGAGTTCCTCGCAACTGTCCCTGGTGCGTCCTCTCTGCACGAGAGGAAGCCCACCACCTGCAGTTGAACTGATGCCTCGGTTCCTTGAGAAAACCATTTGGACGCACATTTCTTGGACTATATCGGCTATTCTCTTTTACTGGGTCCTTGTCCGGTGCTCTTGTAGTACTTTTTCAAACTCCCGCAAAGATGGATCCACAACATTTGCATCCAAACCGTTTCCCAGTCTGAGCGAGGAGCGACTACAGCAAGATGACGCGTGTCTTCAAGCAGCTCGACCGATTTTCGCGATAGGCCAGTGGGTAAAGCTTGCGCCTCGTTTAAGCTTTCGCTGCCGCAAGACATGGTGAGTCTCCAGCAAAGCAGCATTGTACTGCTACAATGGCATTTTCAGGAATAGTCAAGAGGGTGGAGTCTTTTCTTCACATGGGCCCACATGTCCTCAACTCGGGCATTGGTTCGCGTGGCGTTTCGGTTGCGTTTGCTGCCTTGCCACGTTGCCCAGCAGGTGATTGAATGATAGATCCCAGGGTCCGAGAATGGACCTTTGTAGGGCTTCGGGATCTTTCTGGCTGGATCGTTTTTTTCCCCTCCACACGCATGGGTTTGTTCCTTTCCGAGGGTGCTTTTGGGGTTGGTTTGATGGAAAACCAACGGGAAACCGCCCATGTCTGGGATCAAATCGCCAACGAACAAGTACTAGGGATTTGCGCTGATTGATTGGCCCAATGAATCAGTCAAACACTCAATCAAAACACATCAAGCCATGCCAAATCAAATCAAATCAAAGCAAATCAACTCGACTCAAATCAAGTCGCATCGAGTCGAATCAATTCAAGTCAAACCACCTCATATTCAGGCCACGGGGTTCCGGCCAGCGGCCGGAACAAAGGTTGCTGGCCTTCGACCCTAGCCAGCGAAGGTTGCTGGCCATTTGCCGAAGGGATGGATTTTTTGCCCGGGAGTGAGGTACTACAAGTTCCACTTGCCGCTGTCCTTCCAAGCCAACGAGCTCATCGGCCTGAGCTCCGCGGCTGAAAAGTGCGAGGGGCGAGGGGCGGACACCCGGGAAGCCGACACCCGGGCGAGTCGCGAGTCGCGAGTCGCGCCACCCGAGTTGCCTTAAGATGGCTGGCTTTTCCCGGTACTTCCCCCTCAAACCAAGCCCAAAAAAGGGGTATCCTCAAAGAAAGCAGACTTGAGGTAGCAGGTTTCTTTGTCCCGGTCCCAAACCACCGCCACGTGAGCGGCTTCTGAGTCACTCCTCATATTCCCCATTTCAGCCGAAGATGAGGCACCGTTTTCCCATATCCAGCCAAGAGGTTCTACCAAATGGGTGTGTGTGTGTTCCAGTTCGGGGAGCACTTGATCAAGATAGCAAAAGGGGAGGGTCTGCCAGACCCGGTTCCAACTCTTTTCGGCCTGAACCAGGTCACTTGTTGGGGCAGAACTTTGTGGCTAAGATGGGACTAGTTTGGCATGTTGAAAGTGTCCTTTTCTTGGGTTCCGTGCTGATAAGCTTTGGTAAACATCTGGGCAAACTACAAGAAAGGTTCTAGTTGGGCCAAACGAGCTCAGGATGAAAAAGTTCATTTCTGGTTTGGTTCCCATTGTTTGAGCCCAGGATGACCAGCCTGCTCAGGCCTGGAAATCTGTTCCGGATCTGCAGTGAAGACTCTTCTTTTTCAGTCCGCTTTTGCTTGAATTGGAGGGATCCAAGGAGACATGGGCCCGTCTGACAGCCTCACAGACAGCCTCACACGAGCAAATCAATTCACGGGGCAAAGCGAGCTCCAGGATGAAGGTCCCTTGCCCGGGTGCGGTGCGTGGGGGGGTGGTTGGGGGTGGGTGGGGGTGGGTGGTGGGTGGGGTGGTTGGGGGTGGGTGGGTGGGGTGTTTCACTGATTTCCGGTTTGAGAATTACAGTAATGTGCCCAGGACAGGGCTGTTAGACCACCACGGTGAAGGCATGTCAGACGTCCACATGGGATTCACATTCTGTTTGCGCCAGGCTCATACCCAGGATGCGTGAGCAGCACTGACGACTTCTACATGATGGACCGCCGGCATGAGTGGCTGCAAGCGTCCCAAATAGGGAATCCCAACGACCCACATAAGAGTTTTTGCCGGATGATATCATATCGGTTTGTCTCAACATAAGGGGACCCCTGAAATGCGCGGTTTCATGCTGATCATCCCAAAAAAGAACCCGACAGCAGCTACCCTCCCAAAAAATGCCCAGACATGCCCACCATGTGGAGGTGCTCGAGTGGCGCCCTTCGGTTTCTCTTTGGTGGCTTCTCCATTTCGCATTGCCAACCAGAGATGGAAAATAATCATACCATAGAAATCATTGTTGGGTTTCTTGTTATCTTTCTCTTTGCCATTTACGGGTTATTTGTTTGACTTTCTATTATTGTATTGTTATTTGTGTCTTCTCTCTTTCCATTGTTGACTTTTCTAGTAGTACCATATCGAATAAGTCATCTTGTACTGCTAACGACATTTCAGTGCAATCATATCCTTGTCCTCTGATCATTAAGTATTTTCGGAGTCTTTGTGTTAAACAAACATAGGAGTAACTTTGCATTATTATTACATATGATCTCCGGAGTCTTTTTAGGCTAGCATGCAATATCATACATTCATTCAGCATTTTTTTTGGAATGTTATTCTTAGCACGATAAATAAACTTTGGATGGTGCTTACGTGATCTCCGGTCTAATGTTGCATGAGTTGTCGTTCTTTTTTCCACATCTAGGAAGAGCTATTCGTATTCTGCATATTTGTATTTCCAAAAACATCGTTTCCTGGAATTAATACTTCTTCTGAATTGAATAGCATGTACGGGCAAGTATGTTTTACGAAAGGACAAATGAGTTTCTGGGGGATGCAGTAATTACACATTTAGTATCTCCCATTCCATCTTTGATAGAATGGCTTTGTGGAGGACATCATGTTTACAATCCAGCATTGAAGAGGGTTCATTGTCTCTCATTTTCTATTTACCCTTCATTTCTTCTTTGTGGTTTTCTTATTTATCATATTTTCAATCTACATTGTCTATCTCCTGTGTGTAGGGACAATGCTTTGTGGCGATAGTACTACTTTTAAAGGGCAATACTATTTGTGAATCGCTTTTGTATTTGGGTCCATTTCCAGGAAGGGACCCAGATCATTAGCTTTATTCACTAGCTTTTGTTATTCAGGTTGTGGTGTATTTTGTGCAAATGACTTTGGGCGGGGGAATCCTTGCCTGGTTGTCATACAGATGCCATCATGAAACTGGACTCCAATATTTTCATGTTTGTCATTATAAAAGGGAGGCTGGCAATGGACTGAATAGAGAGGCAAACACACTCTTAGCTTTTAAGGGGGTATGGTTTATTTATTGCCAATGAACTTATGGGGGGGTACCCTTTGCTGATCGTTTTGCGCTGATTTTGTGTGAGTAGGTTGTCAATAAAGACATCGTGAGCATGGGCTCCCAGAAATGGTCTTTTTGTTGGCTTAAACAGGGGTTGTGCATGGTCAAAAAGCAAAATTGGGGAACAAAGGCTTAACTTTAGTTCGAGGCATCTTGTTACTTGGTTCTGGGCTGTGCTTAGCTTTACTCAGGGGGTATTAATTAATCATAGGTGGACCTCCGGAGGTGGACGCGGCAGCCCCGCCGCCTGGTCTTGCCAAGTGATTGGAGCCTAAACACATGGCGTGCTCATGACCAAAGATCACGGACCTCCGTTTGCTTTGTTCATTTTTTCGCCTTGCCTGCTTCCGCAATTTTGCCTTTTGACCATGCCCAACCCCTGTTTAAGCCAACAAAAAATACAATTTCTGGGAGCCCATGCCATGGCGTGCTCGGAGTTCTTGCTTTGGTCTTCTCGTCGATTTGTCCGGCGATGTTTTTTGGCTCGGGAACTTCCCTCGTGAGGACAACGGCTTGACCGTGATGGACACCTCCCTGGAGGTAGGTCCTGGTCCAACCGTTGGGTTTGGGGTGAACCACATAGGCGCCCTTTTTGGTTCGCTTAAACATAGAGGGCGATTCAAACGGTTTGGATGGGGTTTATATATTCCATTTACCCGGGCCATCGTTTTTGTTTTTTTCTTCCAAAGGGACATGGGTTGAAACCTCCCAGAGATCAGACGGTTCGGTTCAGATCGGTTTGGATTTGGATCTGAAGCCATTGAGGGTAAATGGGACACCCCAATTCAGGGCTCCAAACCACCCAACTGGAGGAACCCCGTAGAGGAAGCTTCTTTTGGGGCCTGTCTTATGGGGGTTCCATGTTAATTTGTGGGGGGGGAAACCGAAATAAATGAGGTCGGGAACATTTACACTACTTGGCCGCCTTTGGTTTGAAAATGGGGTCAACACCCTCCTAAATGGGGTTTACAGGGTTTGCCGCCCCAAAAGAAAGACCAAACAGAGGCGGCCAGGTATTCTGCAAATTCCCAAGGACCACCAAAAAAGAGGTTGGTTTGCAATGGAGCAATAGGAATTCAGGATGACAGGCCCTCGTTCAGGCTTCTCCGGCATCCGCAAATTTGCAAGCCCGAAAATGGTCACTTTGCGTCCCTTTGTTGGTTTGGATTGGTGGTTTTGGAGCTTACAGGATGTTTCCCATTTTCGCACCACAAGAATCAGTTCAAGTCTCCAAACCACAATCCAAACCGCCAAGCAAAGGACGCTTCGGTGCCACAGATGAAGAGGATGCTCAGGTTAGGTGTGTGAACATAGGAAAACGCCAAAGGCGGCCAGCGCCGCGGTTACATATTCCACGAGGGGGATTGGACCTCGTGGGATCTGGCGTGTTCGTTCGAAAAGACTCCTCGGCTTCCTCGTGTGGCAACGGATGCCTGTCATGTTCTTTTCTGGACGGAGATGCTGAGCAACCCATCGTGAGCAAGCCTGAGGCGTTTGTGGGCGACCCATCCCCCCCACCAGGTGGAGCGGTGGGGAACTTGTGCGCCAGGTGCTGAACCCCAAGGTCTACGACCGCATCCCAGAGGACCCCGACCAGCCAAG